CCCTTCCCGCTGAAACTGAGGAGGACCTGAAGTACTTGCTGCAGAAGGTCAAGGAATGTGCCTTTAATATGGATTGAGGCTCAGTATCAAGAAAACAAAGATTCTCACCACTAGGTCAATTGATAGCATCATGATGGATGGTTTAGTTCACTTGGCTCCACAATCAATACTCTTGGTACCAGTAGCCAGGAAATTAAAAGATGTATTGCATTGGGAAAGTCTGCTGTCAGAGACCTCTCCAAAGTACTGAAGAGCAATAACATCAGTCTGGAAACTAAGGTATGTTTGATTCAAACCATGGTCTTTGCAATTACTTGCTATGCTTCGGAAATCTGGGCAATGACTAAGGATGATAAAAGGAGAATTGATGCCTTTGAGATGTGGTGCTTTAGAAGAGTTAGGAAAACAAACAGGTTCATTCTAAAGAGAGTGAAACCAGGCTGCTCCTTGGATGCAAGGGTTCTGAAGCTTTTTGGACATATTGCAAGAAGAGATCAGTTCTTGGAGAGGATGTCATGCTTTGGTGGGGGGACGGACAGCTCAAGAGAGGAAGATCCTCAATGAGATGGATTGAATCAGTGACTGCGGTAATTTGGGGCAGGTGTGCCAGACACAATAATATTGACACAGGATAGAGCAGGGTATAGGGCTGTTGTGCATAGGTTCACTATAAGTCATAAGCAAAAAAAGTAAGGCCTTTGGGTTATTGGAACAATATTTTACAGGCTTCACCACCCATTTTCTTTAATTTGGAAATAAGTATACCCACAAATAACTTTAAAAAGCCACATTTTGTCTAATCAAAGGATTTTTGCCACGTTGTTTTTATTAACCATCATACCTTAAACCCTAAAATATATTCTAATCCTTAAGAGATAGGCAAATTCTGTTTTTCTTGAAATCTTCTCTAACTGCAAATCCTCATAGTCTTCTCCTTCAGAGTAGCTCTAAGGTTGTAACATTTTGATAGGTTAGAAATAGCTACAATGTAATCAGTAACACAAATAAACTAAAAAATCCTCCCACAATTGTAATTTGAATAGTACATAAATAGTCAAGTCTCCTTGGGTTTTTACTTTTGTATTGTTTTGGTTTGGTTGTTTCCAAGAAGTTTATTCTTCATCATTTAGATACTTGAGTGACAAGATATCGCCCTGACTCTACATCTACTCCATGTAGTCTACTTTAGCAGTAGTGGTATCAGTACAGCACTTGTCTTTTCCCTGCATTCCTGAGACAGCAATCCTTTACAAGGGAGAGTTTTAATTTTCAATACATGTGTTCCATAACGAAAAGTGGAAAATTGCTTTATTAACCTCAAAACTTTGAGATCTTTATTGGTATTAAAAGTAAAGAGTCAATGCCCAAGTTTTCAGAGCAGGTGAAGTTAGAATCTGATAATAATAAATTTCCTCCCCAACTTGTACGTAGCTGCACAAATGAGAATTATCTTCTATCTAAGCACAAAAGACTTAGAAAGATAGGTGTATGTATGTTTATGTGATATAAATACTTGGTTTCTCTAATGCTCTAGACTATTTTGGTAAATGATATTAAATATTCATTACCAAGTTTCTGATACCAGCATATTTTTTGTGTGGGTTTTCATCAATAAAAAATTTTTCTTTTATAGTGGTTTACTTACAGATTTCATATACATTGTTTTATACACTGGGTCTTTTCAATTTACTTAACCCACCTCTTTCTCCATCAATCAAAGTGTGTGACACTATGATTAACTGCTGCCCCTCCATCCTCAACCCTCTGCACCCCTTCCTCCCTTAGATCCTCATACAAGTTACCTATTTCTGCAATAATGGTCTTAAACAGTATTTGTCCTTATGGGACTGGGTTAGTTCACTTAGCATAATGCTCTCTAGGTTCTCCAAAGTTAGGTAGCAATTTACAATAACAATTGCTTCTGTGTGCTGTGAAGTGTTTCATTATGTAAATGTACCATAAATTCTCGATCCATTCAATTGTACTTGGACATTTGTTTCCATGTTCTTGTGATGGTGAATAGTGTTGCTATTGGTGTATGTCTCTGTTTGTACTTCAGCTCTCACTTTCTCTGGGTATATTCCAAATAGTGGAATAGCCAGGTTGTATTGGAATTTTTATGTTCAGCTTTCTGAGGAAACACCAAACTGCCTTCCAGAGTGGGTTGTACCAATGCTGAAAATCACAGGCAATAAGAGATATGCAAATAAAAACCACAGTGAGATACCATCTCACTCCAATAGCAGTGGCAAAGTATAACAGGTCAACAAGTAATTAATGTTGGAGGAGATGTGACTAGACAAGAACCTTTATACACTGTTGGTTGTCAAGTGTTCTTCATTCCTAGATTCCCAAACTCGAAAATCTGAAAGAGGTGTTGAGATTATATTGCATTTAGAATTTTAGAAAACCTCCTACGAAGGGAATATCGGTTGTGGATACAGTAAAATGAAATTATTGACAATTTCAATCTTTATTCCATTTGTCGTGATGTTGAGTATTGGTCCAGGGGTGAATTATTTTGTTTTGGTGCTGAGATATAACTCTATTGAAGGTTATAGTCTTTGTTCTATAGTAAGTGTTTCAAGGCCTCTTCACTTTCTGAAAGCAAGCTAAATTCTACCAGTATAATGCAAGCTGTAGAAGGATCTATCTCAATCCACATGTTTCTTCATATGTCAGACTTCCTGAACTATTTCTATAGCATAAAGACTGAATGTGTATGGAGAAAGGCACAGCCCTAATGCTCACCTTTCCTGATTTACATCACTCAGTGTTCCCTTGTTTTGTTCAGACAACCGTTTATTGGTCTATATGTAGGTCTTGTATGAGAATAATTAAGAGGTTCATTCTTCTCAATATTAATCATAATTTGTTATGATCCACACAATCAAATACCTTTTAATAATCAATAAAGCACAAGCAAGTATTTTTCTAGTATTCTCTGATTTTGAACAAGATCCATGTGGCATCAGCAATAATATTCTTTTTGCCATGGCCTTTTTTGAATCCAGTTTAAAATTCTGAAAGTCCTCTGTTGATGTACTGTTACAGTCATTTTTAAACATGTTTCATTAAGACTTTACTTATATATCATTTCAGTAATATTGTTCTGTATTCTCCACAGTCTGTTGAATATTTTTTTTATTCTGGAATGGGGAGAAATATGAATCTCCATCATCGTGTCTAGGGCTACCTGTCTTTCCTCAAACCTCAAATGATATTCCATCAATCCCTAGGACCTTAGTTTTTACAAATGTCTTTAGTAACTCTTTGACTTCTTCCTATGGTTCTTGATCTTATGGTACTTCCTGGAATGGTTTGAAGAAGAGTAATTATTTTTGGAACAGTGACTCTTTGTATTCCTTTCATCTTCTTTTGGTGCTTCTTGCATCACTCAAGATTTTGGCCATAAACTCCTTTAGTGTTACAATTTGTGGCTTTAATTTTGTTCAGTTCTTTCAGCTTGAGAAGTGCTAAGTGTGTTCTTTACTTTTGGTTTTCTGACTCAGCTCTTTCCAATACTTCTCTTTGTCTTCTCAATTTGTCCTTTGTAATCTGTTCAGCTCTCTTAGCATGACATTCTTTCCTCCTGTTTTGACTTCTTTTCATTCTAATGTAAGTTTCAGAGTCACTTCTGGCATATATTTTGGTACTTTCTTTATCCCCAGTCTTTGTAATGACCTTTTGCTTTCTTCATGGATGATGCACTTTCTGCCATTCCATAACTCATCTGACGATCAGTCATTAGTGTTCAGTGTGTCAAATCTAGTCTTATGATGATTTTTAAACTAACTTGGGAAATACTCTAGATCCTATTTTAATTCTTGTGGACTAGTTTTCATTTAATGTATCTTTAATTTGGACTTGCATATTAATGATTGACAGTATATTCTACAGTTTCCATTTGTTTATCCACAATCAAACCCTGGTAGCAGCAGTCAAGAAACCTAAAATTTTGTTGCTTTGGGAAAATCTTCTCTCAAAAACTTCACCAAAGTTCTAAAGAGCAAGTATGTCTGTTTAAATAAGAAGGTATACTTAACATAAGCCATGGTATTTTCAATGCATTTGAAAAACGGACAATGAACAAGAAATACTGAAGCAGAATCAGAGCTCTGAATTGTGATTTTTGTGGAGATATTGACAAAAGGACAAATACAAATCTATTTTGAAGGAAGTGAAACCAGAATACCCCTTGGAGGAAAGGATTGTGAAACTGTCTTCACTTACTTAGGGCATATTTTTAGGAGGAACTAGTCCATAGAAAAAGACAGCTCACTGGAAAAAGCAGAAGGTCATCAAAAGATGGATTGACACTGACTACTACAATAACCTTGTACATGATGTAGATCCTGAAGAGAGTACAGGATCGGTTAACATTCAGACCTTGTTCACAAGGTTGCTATGAGTGGTAGATGACTCAATCGCACCCAACAACAACAGCAACATACAAAATGCACTTCTAGCTCCCTCAATTATTGTCATTGTTGTGTACCATAGAGTTGAAACCAGCCCACAGCTGACCCTCTGACAGATTTTCAGAGGCAATTAATCACATGGAAGGAGACTGCACATCTTTCTCCATCAGAGCGGCTTGTAGTGATGAATCATGTGCTTTTGTGACTGAAGAAAAGCTTCTTGCCACTAGGCCACCTCAATTACTAATTGAAAAAAAATGCATTTGCTTAAAGCGCACTGTTGGTAATGAAAGTAACAGTGCTATTTTTATTATTAGACATTATCAAGTTAATTTCAAAGTATAATGGCTCAAGCGAAGGTAATAAACAAAAGTAATACTGCTGAGTCTACATAGTCTTTGTGTTATATAAATCTTCATTTCATGTGATGGTAATTTTTCCCCAAAGAAAATTCATAAAGCAAACAAAAAATCATAGAAAATCATTTAGTTGACAAAGAAATGAAATGGATGGAGTCAACACATTTTTCTTACTTAAGATTAGTATTTTAAAAGAGTAAAATCAGTATAGAAGTCTTACCTGACAGCCACATGAATCTTGGAATTGTGGGTAAGAAAAAGAATCAGTGTGCCAGCATGAATAATTCTTCCTAAAAAAACAAAGAAGGAAACTAGAATGATCTTTCAGATTATAAAACTACTGTATATCCCATGACACCAGAAAAGAGTTCACAAGATAATAATCTCCAACAGAAATGTAGCATTCTAACGTTTGTTTTCTCAGCTAGAGCTGTTAATTATAATGACAGTATTTCCATTATATTAGATATATAACTTGATTTCACTGTATTGCAGGTCTTTCATTATGGGGTTGTGCTACTTCTTTTGAATCCTGAGGCTCCAAGTCTCAAGGTCAAGTACCTTCAGCCCCAAAAAACAAATAATAAGTTCCATGTATGACAAATTTATATTCAAAATAAGATACGGCATGTAATTTTCTTTTTTAAAAAAATACAAAAATAAATTTATGTTATCAAGAAACATAAAGCAAAAGAAATTACTTATAATAACTAATTGCACTGTAGAGAATGCTGGTAGTTTAGTCTGTATGAAATAGTACTGGTAACACAAAGGTCGTACCGGTGGCAGTTCAAAAAATCCACTAGTAACTCTGTAGAGGTAAGATGGTCAATGTTCCCTTATGTAATTTACACCTTCTTCAAAATCACTGGAAAGTCAGTTATGAGTCTGTTCTAACTCAATGGCAGAGAAACTCTATGAACTTGGAGAAATGATGAAAAGTATGCAAGCATTCAGATCTTTCCTTCATAGGGTTGCTATGAGTTATCTATGACTCAATGGCACTTAACAACAATAACAACGAGAGAACTCTGTTGGCCTCCCTAGTGGATAGAAGTTATGCTACCAAGCCAAAAGCGGGTGATTTTAATCCGCGCCCCTCAGGCCTGGTCTTAATTGTTTTTGGTCAAAGATTCTTCTAAGTGGTATAGCACTGCTCTGTCCATTTGTTGTACAAGGGTAACTTGTGGTAATGCTAAACACTGTAACACTGATGTGTCAAATGTGATAATGGTTACCCATGGTGGACAGTGTTTGGTGAAGCTACGGATTGATTCGGTGACTGGGGTAATAGGGATGGGTGTGTCAGAGGCGGTGCGGTTGGCGCAGTATAGAGCAGGGTTTAGGGCTGTTGTGCATAGGGTCGCTATGAGTCGGAAACGACTCGACGGCACATAACAACAACAACACAACCCAATTAAAACAAGCTGGGAAACAGGAGTGACATCCCCTTCCGAAATAACTTGCCTCTCGAAACACTATGAACTTGGAGTGAAGGGACAGCAGAAACCCCATTTTTTATAAACCCCCATTAGCGCTGGAGGAAGAAGCGGGCCATAAAAATTCTTGGCTTAAGGCAAACACGAGTGCCCCGGGCAAAGCCTAGTCTGTCCTTGAAAAAGTAAAGAATTAACTAGTGTCTATGTGCCACAAAAGAAGTAAAGGCGGGCAAAGTAGCCAGTCCGTCAAAAGTCAACCCATCAACCCAGATCGCAATCCCCCTGCCCTAACAGGGCACTCAAGAGAGCTATAAAAGCAAGTGGGAGGGGAAACTCGGGGCTTTTTTCCTTCACCACCTTCCTGGGGAAGGGGAAAGCTTCCGCGCGTGGAAAATTAAATAATAAACGCTCTTGAAATTTCAGACGTGTTTTCTGATTTCTTTGAGGGGCATTTCGTGGGCACAACAGGGGAAACGATGAAAGTTATACAATTGTTCAGGACTTTCTTTCATAGGGTCGTTATGAGTCATCTCTGTTAACAACAACAACAAGTGTGTGTGTGTGTGTGTGTGTGTGTGTGTGTGTGTGTGTGTGTGTTTGTGTGTGTGTGTGTGTGTAAATATACTGTTTTTCTCTCTTGGGTCTATATTTTGGTACTTTTTTTTTCCAAAATAGAAATTTAAATTAAAAATAAAAGTTCATAGGTTGGGAGGTCCATAGAGCCTCGGCATAAAGATACATGCTAGAGAGGCACCATCTTTACCAGGGAGCATCCAGATTATGGATGTGAATGACAGGAGCCTGAGGTCAACATTTTACGGGTTACTTAGAGGTCTTGTATCAGATTTTCTGGGCGAAGGAGGAAGACCAAGCCCAAATTTAACTGTCAGATTTTGCACCAGGGAAGTGTCTTTGCATAATACTGTTCTTAATGGTTTAGACATGTATATTTTTGCTTGTCTATTATCTGCTCTTTTTTACTACAACATTTCTCTGTCAGATACTGTACTAAAGTGAATTTCTTAAATTAAGAGAGACTAGGAAAAATTATTAGCCATCCACTCTGAAACATCAACAATCCCTTCAAAATCCTATGAACAACAGTGAACACTTACTTAGATTATTAGATATGGTATTGGAAGCTGAGCCCTCATTTTGTTGTTATTGTTGTTTGTGATAGAGTCAGAAAACATCCATAGCTGACCCACCAATGGTTTTTCAGAGGCAGTAACTGCCTCAGAGGAGATTACCAGTTCTAAGTGTCTAAGGTTTATCACTCAAAATGTCTTTTCCAGCAAATCATTAATGATTTATTTTGTGCTGAAGCATTGATTGTATTAAGAAGAGAGGATTTTGGAATTCCAAAATCTCTGTAGATGTTCATTGAAATTAATTTAAAAAAAAAAAAGAAGAGAGGATTGGGATGTGATTTAAGCCCCATCCTATCAAAGGCTTATAGAAGTCATGGGACTTCTCATGCAGCGAACTACAATTGATAGCATACAGGATACTGGCCCTTTGGTCACCAGTTTCTGCAAAATCAGCCTCCGTATCTACAGTCACATGAGTAATTCTATTAATGGTCGTGAGCCTCTGGGAAACCCCACAATAAACCACTAATACTAAGTGACTTAGAGGATCTGGAAACTGAACAAAGCAGAAGCTGTGGATGTCAGAAATTATTGATTTATACAGCATATCAAGCATTTGGGACACTGGTGATTTAACACTGTTTATAACTGTTCTGCTACAAATTTTAGCAAAGTGAATTATACAAACACGCATCCTTCTCCTAGGGAGCAGGTGGAGGATTTGAACTGTGAGCCTTCAGGATTGCAGGACAGCTTCTTACTACTAGACCACAAGAGCTTCCAGAAAAAAATCCCATGTACAATAAAGCACACTTAGACTACTAGATAGCACACTGGAGACTGAGCCCTCATATTAGGAAACACTAAAACAAGTAAGAATAGTTGTAACTAGCCACTATTGCAATATTTCAAATGCACAAAGTATGAATACAGGAAAATTGGGCATTATTTAAAAAAGAAATGGAATGCATAGATATTGACATATTGGTGAACTGAGATAGATTAGTATAGACGACTTTGAATCAGACAATTATATGATAACTATACTGGGAATAAAAAGAAATGAAGGAATTTGAGGTTGCATTCACAGTCAAAAGGATCATTTCTAGATCATTCTGAAGTACAATATTATAAATGGCATGATACATATCAGGAAGACCTGCTAATACCTATTTTCAAATATATATGCAAACAACTAAAATCAAAGAGGAAAGCATAGATTTCTACCAACTTTTCAGGCTGAAACAAATTGCATATGCAACCAAGATTAATTGGTAAATTCAATCATTAATTGGTGACTGGAAAACAAAAGTTGAGTACAAGGAAAAAGGACCAGTAGCCTGAAAATACAGGCTTGGTAACAGACAGGGTGCTAGAGATAGAATGACAGACTTTTGTACAATCAAGTATTTATTCACTGCAAAAATGTTTTATGAAAAACAAGAAAAGTGATTATGCACATGGATCTCAACTGATGGGCTACACTGGAATCAGATTGATTAAAACTTTTGATAAAGAACCTTTGCAGAAGCTCAATACCAGCTGTGAAAACCAGGCAAGGTGCTGACTGTGGAACAGGCCTTCAACTATTTATATGTAACTTCAAAATGAAGGTCAATAAAATTAAAACAAATCCACAAAAAGCGTGAGTCTATCACGTTTGAATTTAAAAGTCAGGTTTGATTTGAAAACTAATGAATTAAGTGCAGAAGAGCTGTGAGATAATAAAAAGAATTTCTTATTTGAAAAAAGAAAAAAAAGGACATTACAAAGAAAGAGGAAGAGGAAAAGACCAAAATAAATGGTAAAAGAGACTGAATATTGCACTAGAAAGCCAAGGATCCAAAACAAAAGGAATAAATCAGGAAAATGTTGAACAGAAGATTTCAATGGGTAGCTCATGAAGATAAAGCACAGTATTAAAATCAAATGTGCAAAGAGCTAGAGTTAGAAACTTTTTTTTAAAAAAAAAGAATAACTCACTAAACATTTTTCAAGTTGAAGGAACTGAACAAATTCAAACTCCAAGTTACAAAAACCTAGTGCCCACCCTCCAACTTCCAAGCGCCATATTGCCTCTTTGCTTTTATAGCTCAAGGTCTGAGGGCGATAGGCTCTGGGGAAGGAGAAACGTGGGGATCCTGTCAAAGAATCACCTTCACCTAATACAAGAATTAAGTCAAGGGCTTGCAACTGAACCATTACAGAGTGTAGAGAAGAGAGTCAAGGATCCAGGCCATTCCACTCTGCAGACCCACAATAGTAGATAAAAAACAAAACAAAACAAAACAAAAAAACACATTGCTTACATTGGTGCCCCTTGTCCTGTGCCACTTTTGAGGCAAAGGAGGACAACAGATTTCAGGAGAGAAGATATCAGCAGAACATCCCATCTGCACTGTGCAAGAACGCAAACATCACAGGGCAGTGGAGAAGTAGTTAGTGGGTAGAGGTGGGTGGAGGCCTGAATGATCAAACAAGGAATGGCTTGGGGCAGAGGGTATGAGTTACTGGTGGTAAAAAAGGAGGGAATTGAGCTGGATGCGAACAGAGCAGTGGTAAGAGTGGGAACAAGATACATGCACCTAAGGGAATGACGAGTGGGACCAAAACCTGATCCAGTACCTGAATAATGAGAAGTCTTTCATATGTTCTTTTGAGCAAAATTCTTGTCTGTCAACCAAATTAAGACAGCCTAGGGAGAAGGATTGTCTATCCACTCCCAAAATAGCAGGCCTCAGGAAACCCTATACAAAACAC